TCTATAGCGTAAAACAACATTCAAACAAATATGAAGAGCAGTAAAACTGACACAGAGGAAAAAGGAAAACAAGAGACAGGAGCTATGATGTAAGATGCTTGTCCAAAGCGGTTTTAAATGAGCTGAATGCGCTGGTGGATGCTCCCAGTCTGATCAGCTTCTCGAACTCCAATGAGGTCCTATTAACGAAGAAATGGTGTCTGATGTTACGTTTTGCCCTGTTATCATACTGAACAAGCTGTTCTGTGCCTCTTCGCTGCTTACACTAGGCTGCTGCATTTAAAATGCCTCAATAAAAGGATAAAGGATAAAGCATTTGCCGTTGATCAATCCCTTTTTGGGATGCGGCACGCATTCTACTTCCATTTGTACATTCGTAGTGGCGTTTGAATGCGATGTGGCCTATACAATGACTTGCGGGGGCCAGCCGATGTACAAGTCAGTGTTTTTATCCTCCCAGACAAGTCTGGTACCAATTAACCGACCCCGGAGGGATGGAAGGCTTGGTTGGCCCGGGCGACTCACGACCCAGGATTTGATCCCCGGACCGCTCGCGTGGTAAGCGCGCCACTTGCCACTACACCACTTCCGCCCTTGAGATGTTTTAGCCCAGAAAATTGGTTCATTTTCTTCGAGTGATGATTTAGTGGAAGCGGTAATATGAATGGGCTTTTGTCAGCTTTGCAGGTGACTAACCCTTTTCAGTTAACCGTCTTGGAAGCTACGAATCTTGAAAACCTAGCCAGTAGTCGGGGGCTAGCGGGAGCCGCAAATGGTCGTTGGCAGGAAATTCATTTATTATTTATTTCTCAAAGAATTATTATTTATTTATAATTCATTTATTTACAATTTATTTGTTTATTTCAATGCACTCAAAGGTGCGCACAATCACGGAAAGAGTAACATGAAAAACACTTGAACGATAGAAGAGCTACAATTTGGTCGGGATATGAATTGATCTAGGGCTTGATCCGTGAACTGCGCTAGTGGTACTAAATAGTGGCATTCACGATCATCTTGCCTCCGATTACCGACCTTTGAGACGATTGTCCAGTTATTAAATGGTTATACATTAATTTTTTGCAGTCACCCCGCTCCACTCAGTTTGGTCCAAATAAGAAGGAATCGCTTTTCTGTGGCACGCTTGACTCATGGGCCACTCGCAACGGCACCATGCAAACTGGGAGGCTGTTCGTGCGCTACACCAATACTGGAAAAAGGAATAAAGTAAGGTTTTTGATGATTGCCACTGATTACTCAATCAGATGTGACACTCCAAGTGGTTATTTTCAGGGCTTCAAAATGCGAATATTCGAGATCTCTGAGGACTGCAGCTCTGAAAATCTTTTCGTTGATGAGAGCGAACCCTCCAAGGTTCTCAAAACTCCTCGATACCCAGGATGTGAGTGATTATGCAGTCGTGTACTCCCATATAAACAGAATGTTAACTGTTCTGTACAGAATAGATTACCAATTATTCAGTTTAGTTTACCTTATTATCACTAATATCAAGATGGGAGGCTACTTTCAAATCCGCATCCTTTCAGAGTCCCCAATGAGAGATTCTTAAGCCAAACCGCAGTCTTCAATCACAGTTCCTTTCAGTTTTATAGAGAAAAAGTCATACTTGGCCATAGCGCCTTACATCTGAGTGCGAGGTCAATCGTCTATGTTAATATTCGAAAGGGGGTCGTATTCGAGGAAGTTGAAGGGGTTGTGTGGGAAGAGAGGGTCATTAGACTGGGCACTTTTCTAATATTTTTTATTAGAATTTACGAAAGAACTGTTCCCTATCATGCAGCGATCTTTTATCCGCTGCCCCCAGAACCCTACATTCGAGCGGTCGCATGAGGAGGAGGCACAGTGGGGAATTTTAGCCTGTCGTCTCATCTAGAAACGAACACTATAGAAACGGCCATGGTGATGAGGGCGTTGGTAGGTGTCCTATTTGCAGTGATTCCCCTCTGTTTTGGATGGTGGATGGGTGCTTTTCATAACAAGAAGCGACGATTGACTCTGGACATATGGCACTCGAACCTCGAGCGCGGCTTCAACACTGCAACACTCCAAGCCTACGCCGCCTACGCATGACGTGCGCTTTCTGGTCTTTTCTTCCTGCTTCCTAGGTGTGGAACTGCTTAACACGTCCACGGAAGATTGCTGCAAAATTGCACCAGAGATGTACTCGCGAGCGGATTCAAGGCGGGCGCACCTTCACAGTCATCCACCTTCTCCAAGAATGTGACTTTGGACGGGACCCCGCGACGAGAATAGGTCAAGGTTGAGATTTTTAAAGGTTCACTGTCAATAATGCAGCCGCCATATTTACTCGTCTACAACTGTACTAAAATCTCACCATACTCTCACATATCTCAGACAGAGTGCTGTAGTTTCATATGGCAAACGACTCACTTGCGCGTTGATGAGCCAATCCTGGATCGTACGCCATCCACGCCAATCAAACTTCCATCCTTCCCTTCGATTATTGCACGCTGTGCAGCTTACTTTGAATGGCCGTACCAATCCGTTGACCATTCATGGTTAAACAACCTTAATGGAGTACCGGCCGTTACCTGTGGTGCTGCCAGTTGAATTGACTCTCTCAGTCTTCATTGGCCTATGGAATTGTCTGTCTGTGAATCGGGAAATAATGCGACCTTTCTCGACTCGGAGCTTGTGATCACAGTTTCCGAAAATTATTATTTTTCATTATTCAAGCACCTACCACACTTCTCTGGCCTGTCAGTAAATCTTGACGCGCCGCCGAAGCGGGCATCGCCCTGAAATTCACTGTTGATGCCAGAACATTTCAAAGGAATCGGCTACGATGAGTCGCGGTTTAGTGCTAGTTTTCAGCTCCATGTACGACTTCCACAATTCACTTGTGCGGTGACCTTTTATCACAGTGTAATTGCATCTTCATCCGAATTTTTCCGATCGAATCTTCCCGATGTGGCTGTCGAAGCCATGCGATATGGCTGGAGATCGGGAGGTCCGACGGACCACTCCACCGCGTTCATTGGCCGGTTTCTTCTATATGTTCAAGATTTAGGACGCAGTGGCGCGCTGGCAGGGCCCACCGTGGCAAAATGCACTTCGATCCGCTCCGGAGGCGACCGGGTAACGATTGTTGGTGATAAGGCGTTTACCATCATCCGCTCATATTGCACATTAATGAATTCATCTGTCGTAAAATCTCGTCCAACGTGAAAGCCGGCGCGAAAAAAAGGGGTGCCATTTTGCTTTGTTTGTTTCCTTTGGTTATTTCCTCACCAATGTACCGCTTTCCACCTCTACTTTCATTGCAACGGCGACCCTTTAATCATACCACCTCCCTTTTAATATGGATAACCATCTCGAGGCATTTTCGTTTCTTTTTTGCTATTTATTAGATTCCCACTTTAATATTAAAATGGTTACTAAGGTACTGCAACATCTACGCTCCATCGACGATCTACTCTACTGGCAATTTCTTATTCGTAAGAATCCGTACTGACTCCTTCGCAGCGAGCAATGGGTTCACGGCCGTCTACGAATTAGGTGAGTTTTTTTTCAAGATTTTTCCTCCAAACAGGAACGTTGGTTACCACAGGTGAGTATGGGTATATTTACGCAGCAGTTATTTGTGGGTCACTACATACAGCTTTATCAACGGCTTGTTTACCGGAGCGATCTTTGGAATAGATCTTTGGAATGGCTGATGATGTAGAATACTTGTAGCCTCCTGCGGTGGAACCGTTGTGCTACGGCCTGGTTCAAATTATTCGCTGACGTCTCCGAATTACCCGGATGTCTACCCACTTCGAAGTGAATGCGACTGGTCAGTACGTGCGCCAAACAGCCACATGGTCGAGGCGAGGTTCGTCATTTCAATTATAGAGGAGGGGGGTGGGAGGATGGAAAAGTAACACCGGCCCTCCAGGAAAATACATTAGCTTCTGCTGCTCCACTCTAGCAGAACCTATAGTTTCTTAGTGGGCTCGGTCCGGGATTGGACACACTCACCTGTTCATCTCCGATCGTGGTAGACAGGCGAACAACTGTTAGTGATGTACCCCCTAGGGCTTGAGACTGCGCTACGAAGGCGCTAAAATTTTGCTCGACCCCCTCCCCCTTCTCCATCCTAAAGTGGAAAGCGATTGAGAGAGAGGGGACCCTGAAGTTATCGGGGTTTCTTTTGCTTTCTTTTTCTTTTGCGGGCCACTTTCTAGCTTTATTTGAAGGGTTGTCCATGTGGGCCTCACATGGAATGTTAATTGCTCTACCGACAGCATAGCGATCCGGGACGGTAACAAAACAGGTGAGCATTATTTATTTCAAAGCGATATCAATTTCCCTCATTAAATCCGTCTCAGCACCGTACCTCATGGAACCGCAGTGCAACGGCCGTCAACTCGCAAAAGTCAATTATCGATCAGCTAGCAGCGAAATGACGGTACAATTCCGATCGAACGGTACAATACAGGTGCGTTTCCTTACTGCGGTAGAAGATTAACAGGTTAAAGGCAGCGATTACGATAAAGTGGGGAAGCATATGCACCACACGAATCAGTTACTTGGCTGCCAGGGAAGCGAGGTGTAGCGCTTTCACGACGAAGGTGCGCTGGTTGCTGAGCAGGACTTCGAAAGCGCTCCGCCCCCAAAAGCGATCCGCCCACTAGTTTACTTGTTGATTTGGACGAGCTGCGTTGCCAGCAGCGGCGCAAATGGAGCATCTCGATTAAAGCGTTTGGCATGGTGCCATCAAACGCGTTGCGGTGAACTCGTTCATACGTCCGCTTTCTGAGCTGTTACCTGTTCATGAGTGAAAACCAACGGCCAAAAAAGGGGTCCCGTTTTGCGTTTTCTTGACGATTTTTCCCTTTTTTCGCCACTGGCGTACCATTGAGCACCACCACGTCCTCTAAACCTTTCTTAAATTTATCGTAATCGCTGCATTGAGATGCTTAAGTTTACAATCAACCCCTCCTTCAAAATCGCGTCGGTCAACTATGCAAAGATAAGAAGTGCGGCTTTGAGATGGCACCTGAAAGTTAGCAATGAATGTGGGTTTAGTTTACCTAAAGATATGGAAAACTTGCTGTGATTGGTTGCAGAAACATTTTACTCGATAACATTTTTAGCTTGTGGTGGCATTATCACTGACCAGCAGGGTCAGTTGACCACTCCAGGTTTTCCGGGAAGACTTCTACCCCATGTGAGGTGAGCATTGACACGAGAAATGCGTTTTTTTTTCGTATTTCTAGTTTCACCCATTCAAAAAAGCGATTTTCGAATTTGTATTGTCATCGGCCGCCAGCCTGTCCGTGCGTCCTGAAGGGGGGCGGGGGGGCAGGAGTGACTTCAAGGATCCACTAACAGTACCTCAGACTAAGCTTAGAGACTGAAGTATTCTGGGTAAGCATGTCAGTAGTTTTTCTCCCTTTCGTATCTTCCCCTGACTCTAGCTCTAGTTCGCTACAGCGATTTTTGAATTGTCAATTTTGCAATGTCTGCCAAAAAAAACATGCGCGCCTTGTCCTGCCCCCCTCCACCGCCACGGTGTCACACCCTTCCACCGATGACGGCCACCGATGTCAGGTGAACCGTTCCCCTTTTCTCAGGTGTCACATCCACTGTCTTCGAAAGCAGATGATCCGCGTAAATTGGACTCAGTTGTAAATGAAAATAAGGGATTGCTTCTGTTTGCGAGAAGCTTATATTTTTCATATAGGTGCCAATGGGTACTTCGTGCTGGCATCGGCTATCGCTACATGTTGTCATTCGAGTTCACAGAGGATCGTGATGCTGAGGCCGGATCTCCTCCCGCTGTCCGCAAGGCATCTGCCTCGGTGTCGTACTTTACCTGGCGCATCGCTCTATCTCTCCTTCGTGTCCTCCCGCTCGCCGGATCCTGGCGTCTCCAACTCGTTGGGTTGCGGAGATGTTTCCACGCATTGCTTTAGAGTTCAGCCATGTTATTTTTCTTTATTTTCAAGTAACATTCCTATTTTCAGGGGTTCTATCACTAAACTTTCGGGTGGCGCGTGGCCAGGAGGTTGTTTCGCGTGATTTAATGTGAGTTTGTGTTGTCCTCGACTTTGACCCGACTAACAAAAATTTCATAAATCTGCGTTAGGATGTGGAAAAACGGGCATAATAATGGTGGAGCATTAGGTAATTTTCGACTGACGAAAGCGATCGCCTGCTTTTAACGAGGCTTTCGTGGAATAGTTTGGCACGTATAAAGGCACACACCAGGATCAAATTGGTGTTTTTATTGTACAGATACCAGGTGTGTGAGTGCGAGATGGGCGGCAGTATGAGGATAAAAGAGCCAAAAGAATCGTCGACAAGGCTTAAATTAAGGCTACTCTAGGCCTTCGTAATCAGGCGTGCGTAACTACATAGGGGCAAGCGAGACTAACGCGAACAGCAGGCAGAATGCGAGGGCGAGACCCAGATGATGAGAGGGTGCTGCCAGACAAACAGCTTAATACAGAAAGAATGTGCAGCTGGTGCCAGAGTTAGCTTGATTTTCAAGGCTGGTGGAGCTCTTTCGGTGGTTTCCGTGCACGGGGAAGCCACAGCTGTGAATGCCGCCGTTGTGATTGTACCTATACATACCGAAGGGAATCGTTCGCACGATTTCTCCCTGGGTTGTGCCTTCGAAAAAAAGCAAGCAACTATTGAAAATCGCCCAATCTTTAATTTTATAATGCTTATTTGGGAAGAATACTTCTGCAGAGCGGTCTATTGAAAAGGTTTTTGATTTTTTTCATTCAAAACGGACCTAGAATTAAGAAGCTGTAGTGTAAGGGGTGTTGTTATGCGTAACAAAATAGCGACGGCAGCGTAGCGAAGGGTCGTAGTGTAAGTGGCTAACCTCCCCTATAGAAGCTTCTTCTAGTCCACTCGCCTCTAATTGACAAGTGCATCCTTTGAAAACGATAATATGATGTACTGGTTTCGTTTTCAGTTCTTCAACGGCGAGCCAAAACATGAGGCTGTCAATTACCGTAGCGACCGCATGTTCTGTGATAACCGCAAGACTTTCGTCAGTGATGCGGATCTTGCCACAATAATGTGAGTGCATTGGCTTCAATTTGATCCTTTGAGTCAGACCTCCCTTTTGTTAGCATTTATGTGATAGCGGGTCAGACTGCGCCTTGCGAATGGCCCAGAGATGAATTGCATATTGATGTGGGTGGAGTCACAAAAACTTGTGAACCACCGGTAAGTTGTTGCAGAAGAATGGAGGTGGGCCACCTACTAGAACGGGCTTCCGTAGAGTCATAGACCGAGAATCCATTCTTGCTCGGTGCACGCAAGGCGGCTTAATGCTTTAGTGCGCATGTGCTACACTCTTTCGCATCTCAAGTTTGGGTCAGAATGTTCAGGTCACGATGGCTTGCCAGTTCTACACGTGAAAGTGTGGGTAGCTATAATACCCACATCGCCATAGCTAGAACTTGAGGCACGAAGCGGCGAATTCGAGCAAAAAAGTCGTGCTCACGCCGCTGTTTAATGGAAATGATCCAAATTAAGCGCGAATGAAAAAAGAGTCAGTCCCAGAGGAAAGAACTAATTCCCAGAGGGAAGAACTGGAAAGAAAATCTAGTCCTATGCATGGAATTCGTTGGTTCAGTTGGGCGCAAGCTATGGACAATTATAGAGGGATCTCCTTTTCAGCTATACGGACTCCAACACAAAGCACTACAAGGGACTTGCAGAGGAATCAAGCGATGACGTTTACTACGTTCCATTCCGAGTGAATTACACTAAGGTTCGTCTCTTGTCTGGCCTCGGTCAATTCCTCTGAGTGCCGTTTATTCACTAATCCTGTTTTTCAGGTTCCCAACACATTCGACAAGAGAGGATGTGGTCTTCTGATTTCAGGCAACACCACACAAACATTCGGCAATTACTCATCATTTGGCTCGGACACCGTTCGTGAGTACTGAATAATCCTGAACCACAATTCATCATTGAACTATTTTCATCCTGGGACCACCTTTCCAGGTTACTGTCATGCATTGCTTC